GGCAACAAATAATGCAAATGACATAGCAATGTGACATTTCCAAAAAGCAAAAATACTGTAAATTGGCTGCTACGTATATATTGACGTTTACATATTGTTAATCACCGTATCTTATAAAGGATTATGTGATCTAGTTTAAAAGGATATGGCCTTTCTGTCATGATAGTAGCTGCTTAAATAGTATTTTCTCTTTGTATCATATTTTACAGCCAAAATGTTGTGTTATTTTTAATAACGTTACCTACCAACCTGACCACAAAACCCCGCCAAAGTCCGTAATATAGGCAGGTGCAAATAATTTTTCAAGATGGGTACCATTTTAGGCAAGGTTTCTATGTTTGGATTTTATTAGACACGATAAGAGCAGATATTTCTGCATAAATATTTGATATGTGTAGAATAATATGATAAAATGTAGGCGAAAGTGGTGAAAGAGGCAGACACCAACCCATACAATAGTTATAAGATAGTTCAATAAGAAATGAATTAAGAATTGCTGGGATAAAAGGATTTTCCACTGATTTCGTAATGGAACGTTATATTGCAAAACATGACATGATAAAGAAGAAAATCTATTTTAAAATAAGAAAATAACATTGCAAATACTTATTTGGTAGAATTCAGTAACAGCTGTTTCATTTTTAAACCCTGACACCATCTGTAATGAATTTTCTTACTTTTTCTCTAACGTTGGAGCGAATGTTAAAACATCCATAAGCCAAGGAAACATTACTGATAACATTGGAGAATGTGTAGATTCACTTTTTCTGTATCCGGTAACAGTAGAAGAAGTTCGCACTATTGTAAAAAGTTTAAAGAACAAAAAAAGTTCAGGCTCCGATGAAATATCTCATGTGATGCTGAAAAAAGTTTCAGATTATTTGCTCCATCCATTGTGTCACCTCATTAACTTCTCATTTAGCTGTGGAACTTTTCCTGAGCGTCTGAAGGAGTCGGTTGTTAGACCCATATTTAAAAAAGGGAATCCCAAGGCTTGCAATAGCTATAGACCAATATCAATTGTTTCCGTATTCTCTAAGGTCTTCGAGAAAGCCATGAACTTGAGGCTCTGTAAGTTTCTAGAAAATAATAAAATCATAACCTCTAAACAACATGGTTTTTTGAAAGGAAGGTCCACTCTGACTGCTATGTTTGACCTAATAAACAGAGTTGTAAGAGGGCTTGATTCAAGAAACTATTCAGCAGGAATATTTTTTGACCTGAGAAAGGCTTTTGATACAGTCAATCATAACATACTACTGCAAAGAATGGGTAAAGTAGGAATAAGAGGAGTAGCCTTAAGTTGGATTGCTTCCTACCTGTGTGGCAGAACGCAGTACGTAGAGATCCAGGCAGTAGACGAGACTGGGTTCATTCGTCCCTACTCCTCTGTTAAGACCACCATTCTGAGAGGAGTGCCCCAGGGCTCTGTTTTAGGACCTACCCTTTTCCTCCTCTTTATCAACACCCTCCCATCATGCACTTCGACCGCCACACCCACACTATTTGCTGATGATACCTCACTCTCCATTTCAGATCGCGATATCAAGAGCTTAGAGCTTACGACCTTTTGTGAAGCCAGTAATTTAATTGAGTGGTTTGATAACAATTTTCTTTCCGTTAACACCGAAAAAACACAGCTTGTGCACTTTTCTATCACAAAAAGATGCTCTAATGGTTTCAGTCTTCTGTTAGATGACACACCAGTTCACCCAACTGACAAAGTTAAGTTTCTGGGACTGACCCTGGATGAAAATCTAAATTTCCAACATCATATCACACAGGTCACAGATAAATTGAGTTCTGGAATTTTTGTACTGCGTAGTTTAAAGAACACTGCCAATAATGACGTTCTAATAGCCGTATATTACGGACTCATCTATCCACATTTAGCGTATGTTATACCTATATGGGGTTATGAAAGTACAAAAACCAAATTTCTGTTTAAGTTTCAAAAATGGGCTATAAGAACAATTTTTTCCTTACCCAAACGCCAATCATGCAGAAAAGTTTTCTCAGATTCTAAAATTCTAACTCTTCCATCGATCTACATTCTTGAAACCCTCATCTTTGTCAAACAAAATCTTTCCCTATTCACTGAGTCAGGAAACCCCCGTATTCACACATATTCACTCCGAAATTCTCACAATTTACCAATCCCTAAACATATTACATCTTTTTTCCAAAAACACTGCCTTTACAATGGAATTAATTTGTATAATAGCCTCCCCCTTTCTTTATAAATTAGAATCAGACCACTCAAAATTCAAGCGATGCATAAAACAACATTTGCTTAAAATCTCGTGTTATAGCATCCAGGAGTTCTTGAACCACAGGAATTGGACTGTTGTAAACCCTGGTGTGTTGAGTAAGATGATGTATATATAATTAGTATTAAATATTGTTGTAAATACCCTAATCTTATCTTTAGCTTAAAACGAAGAAGGAAAGCTGTATTATTTATGTTTGACTTAGCTAATGCAATGTATTGTCAACTTAGCTGAATAAAATGATTTGATTTGATTCATTAAAAAGTATTATTCACATGGCCAAAATGTAAACAACTCTGTGGAGGGATCTTTAAAGGCTTCTGGGGCAGAGTCCTAAGGGATTTTGCTTAGTTTTTCTTTTGATAACTCATCTACAGACCAAGACCTTTCTTTGGACACATCTACCAAGTTTCTACTCCCAGCCGTTCTCTCAAATTAGTGGGGACAAAGTTTCCAGTTAAATATTTAGATTCCCATGTTAACCTTATGGGAGAAACTCCAACTTTGATGGCCTGTGGGACAAAGCCCGAGGATTTTTATTACAGGAATTGTTGAAAGGGGGCGTCTACACAATAAATACTTTATTTTGATACGTCGTTTGTAAAAATCGGTCCATTATTAACGGAGGAGTAGTGTTTTGTAGAAATCGCCTTCACGTATTATATATTAGGATTTCTCTTGTAATGTTGATATTTTGATCAAAATTTGTATTATTTTAGTGTCTGTTATAAAAATTATGGCCAATTTGGTTTTGACATTATTACTTTTACAATAAACATAAGCGTAAGCAAGCTATACAATTTTCAAAACGATTGGGTTAGGCCTAAGTGGTTTCTTTTGCAATTAAAGACAACATTTCACTGTTAAGAGGAACTTCTAGAAACCCTGTACTTGTTAGGATCTCAAATACTTTTTCCCCCTTTTACAGTGGATAGGAAAATTAATCCATTAGATGTTGCAAGCAAACTTATCCCATTTATTATAAAATCTGAAGCCTGGTGTAGTTCCAATCGAATTCATTGTGCTGATTTTGACTCTTATGTGTTTTTATCTTTTGCGCCTTACTCATTCATAGCAGCAAAGAACAAGTAATCGTTTTCTTTTGTAATATTTGAATAGAATGTGTTATTAGGTTAAAATAGTTTTGAAGTTTGTGAATTTACACTCATAAGATATAAATAGAAACACAATACATAATATACTGGACATAAAGATATTTTTTTATACTTGCTGATTAGGGTGATTGATTCATAAGAGAGTAAGTTTAATCTGCTAGGGCAGGTTCTTGGTGGCTAGAACCTTTTTAACCACCATAGTTTGTTACTTTGACACTAAAAAAACTAAGTAAGAAAATATACAGTGTTTTTAAAAACAAAACTTTTATTCATACATTCATGTTATTTAACAGAAAAAATGTATACAGCTTCTAAATCTAATAATATCCACTTTTTCAATAGTTCATCCATAAATCAATGTAATAATTAATAAGAGCATACAATAGAACTACAACTAGGCTTTATGAACCATTTGTAACCGTACCATATTCAGATAATCAAACATTTGGATAGTTTGATTTTTAACCAAATTTTGAGTACCTATTTAATTTTTGTTATATGTCTGTGAATAATTCACGATTGAAAAATTCATTCTATCATCATGATTGATAAATACTTTTTGTGATCATGGGAGCCGAAGATGAAATTCCGTGACCACAGGAGACGATGTCTAGAAGAACAAGAACGCAAAATATTTTCAATATTTTGCAGCATTTGCAGAAGATTATGATATCTACAAGGCCATGGAAGACATTCAAATAGGTACTTTTCTGCGACCACGGACGATGAAGAGGTTTCAATGACCATGGGAGACAATAATGATGTCTATATGACCGCGAGATATGTACAGGATTTTACCGTGATCATGTCTTCTGTTTCTGAAATCATCTTCTAACATCTTAAATAGGATTCTTATTAGGCCTACTGTAGTTTAGGTTTTTTTTTTAATTCTTTCCGTAAGCGATTCAAATAGTCGGTAATTCGGACAGTTCAATTTCTACTGTACTAACAGTTTTTACTAATGTCAGATTGAAATGGATCCACTAACCATTTGTTAAATTGTCATTTTCATCCTTTACATCATATTAATCAATCAAACTTTGGTGGATGACGGATTTCACTAATTTCAATGATAAAGTAATTCCAGTTAATAGTGTGCATATCATTTAAAACAATTTCTGTATCCTACTATCTAAGCAGATCATAAATTTACAGTAGCTTAATTTTAGATAGTGTAAACTCTTACCTTAGCAATCCTTATTATGGTTGTCCGATATTAATTTCGAACCCGTAGGTTCATCTTCAGTCGGAAGTTTAGGTAGACCAAATGCTTATTATAAGATCCACCCGATGGGCTTCTTAGAAATGTTGACATTTGACACGAACACGATACACATTACAATTGACATAAATGATATACGGAGTTTAGGGATAAAAACCATGGTTTTATAAACAGTGGGATAACCTCACTTCAGTCAGGGAACACGCTGCCGGCAGAAATGTCAAAATATAAAACCATGGTTTTTATCCCTAAACTCCGTATATTATTTATGTCAATTGTAATGTGTATCGTGTTCGTTTTAAATGTCAACATTTCTACGAAGCCCATCGGGTGGATCTTATAATAAGCATTTGGTCTACCTAAACTTCCGACTGAAGAGGAACCTATGGGTTCGAAATTAATATCGGACAACCATAATAAGGATTGCTAAGGTAAGAGTTTACATTATCTATTTGATTATTAAGCAATCCAGAGGCTGAAATGATTGATAGCTTAATTTTGTTACATTATTACAGATCCAATACGAAATTTCAATTTTGTGAGGGTAAGATGGACAAACATAAAGATCTTCAATGTCCTACCATGACTCAACTGTGTGTGAATGGCAATCAAGTTGTCGGCTGAGAATATTTACATATTTATGACATTGGGGTTTTCTCTTGAAATAAATATAAGTGCAAAAAGGCAACTTAATGAAACTGAGGACTAATGTACAAAGACCAAAGATATTTCTCAAGAACGTTGATGATTATGTTTTTTTCTTCTGTCTGAGAGAGAAACATCAATAAAGATAAGTCATTTGCGGATCTTTTTGTTGAGCAAACTCGCAACATCTCATTACTTGTGTCCCACTTTCTTTGAAGGGCAATCATTGGGATATTCTGGAACACTTCAATTTCTCTGTATATCATATCAGTGAATTCATTACTGTCAATAGATTTGTTACAATATACACTGGTTTCATTCTTAAAATCTGACGCTACTTGTTTAATTTCATCAATAAGTTCATTTACTTTAGCTAAATCCGTACTGTATGCTGTTGAAGTTACTGCATTAAACTCGTTGACTTTATGCTCAACTTTCTTCCACGTTTCATTTACTTCGGCTGAGAGAGTGAGGATTGACAGCTTCAGATCTTCTAAAGTTTGGTAATCTTCATCAGAAATCAGCAGATTATTTTCCTCCCAAATTTTCTTTTTCTTTCTTTCTTTTTGAATCTTTTCCAATAAATCATTTAGGAGTAGTTGAACATGTTTGTTATTCATGTCGTCTTCATCTACCTCTTCATTTATTTCCCTGAGTTGACAGCTTCCTTTGTCAGTTTCTTCTTTGTTATTTCTGTATACATCTATGAATTCCTTTAATAGTTCTTCTTTTTCTTTCTGGAGTTCATTTGAGTCCAATATTTTTCTCTGGGCAATCTTTTGAATCTTCTGTCTGTTTTTTATCACCATAATTTTTAGGTCTCTCAACTTTTCTTCAAACATCATCGAAGTTTCATCTCTTAAATCGGGTGTGACATCTATCTTAGAATGCAGAGATTTCAGAGCTTCCGTAGCATTTCGGACAGTGCCATCCAGTATGTTATCAGGTTTAAATTCCAATATTGAACTCATCATCTCGCACATGTATTCACTATCATCATCTGTATCCTTGAATGGATAACTGTAATTCTTAACGTAATTACTGACTGTGTACTTTTGGTGGCTAAGCTCGTTGTAAGAAGTAGATGTTTTATCAGCTTTCAATGTTTCAACAGTCTCTTCGTCTAGACTGAATTTCTTGCAGTCTTTAGAAAGTCTGTAAAGTTTCAAGTCCAAGATGGTCGTTTTAGTCTCAATTTCACTTAATTTGTCCTGTTCCCACACTTCTACAATCTTTTTTTGTAAAAGGCTGGACTTTTCATTTTTCAACTTCTCATCGATCACCCTTATCTCTTCCTTTAGCTTTTCTTTTTCTTCTTCAATTTCAAGAATTTCTTTTACTTTGTGAAGCTGATTGACAGAATCGAGTTTGAAGTTTCTAAACTGTCCAAGATGTATATTTTCGTTCTCAAGCCTGTTGAGTAGAACATTCTTGCGTATTGTACTGGCGACATCATTTCGCATTACTTGAGCTTGCAAATGTCTCCAGACTGATCGCATCTTGGGTGTGTTGAGTTTCCGCAGATCCATTTGTTTGAGACGCTCGTGCCAGCCGAGCGCATGCAGCCATTCTGCCAGGCCTTGACTCTGACAGTCCCCTGACATCATCTCTGAAACAATACAACTTCTTGTAGAACAACATCCTTTGATCAATCAATTGTCAGCAACAATAAAACTTTTTCTACAACCAGAATGACAAACAACAAACAAAATAGGTTATTATAGTGTATCCTCTGGATCACTATGATTATTACAATAGTAGGTTATGTTACCTGCTGAATTGCAAAGTGATCTTGTTCTTGTTGTTTGTTAGAGTACCATAGTTTCGAAGACTTTTATTCTTTCATGGTCAAATCTACGTGGACATTAACATGGTCAAATCTACGTGGACATTAAGCGTGATTATTCCTCTTCAACCTCGAAGATTTGTCGAACGAAACACAAAAACACAATCTCGTTTTTATAGGCTACTCATGTTTTTAAATGTGTCCCTGGTTACGTGTTTCCTTCAACAAATCTTCTCACCGACCAAGTTGAAGAGGATTAATCACGCTTAATGTCCTTGTAGACTTGACAAAGGAATAGGCCTAAAGTCTTAAAAACTATGGTAGTCTAACAAACTACTAGAACAGGGCTACTTGGCAATACAACAGGTAACATACCTACTATTGTTGGTTAGCTATACATTTCTGGCACAAAAGCTTGGAACTACTGTTTCATTTGTCTTACCTATCAAGAATCAAACTCATTTCTAAAAATATTTGGCTCTCGAACAATCCAAAGTAGATTATTAACATGGATGCTCAAGAGCCAGTTCTATACAAAAGAAGATCCTAAATTTATCACGAATACTCAAGATAATTTGGAGGCAGTAAATGTTACGGTACCAATTCCAATATTTTAGTTTTAAATTTGAAAAGTACCGTAAGGCAAAACTTTGATATCCGACTCCATCGTACTATCAAACATAAAAGTATCGATTTCATCGATAACCAAACGTAACTTAGGCTAAATAAAAACTTCTGTAGCCTATAGATTGTATGTATAAAGTATAGGTAGGTAACACATAAAAATGTTAACCAATAAATTTTGTTTTTAGCAGCTGAAGATATCAAAATCAAAAAGTACATCGGTATAAGTGTAAATATATTATTACATGTGTTATTTGACGTATTTTTGTATTTTCAGGTAATAACACTACTTACGCAGGCTATACGGAAATTCACTAAAAAATTTGCCTAAAACAAACTTCTTTCAAAGAGAAAGTATTTATTATTGTTTTCAAAGAATAATTAGGCTCTTCTAGAATACTTTTAAAAACTGATACTTTTAATTTACGAAGCAATGTTATAATAAGTTACAAACAATTTTAATGACTTTTATCATTGAGTATACACGTACTAGAGTGGCCACTCAATGGAGGCTATCGTTACCTGAACAGCGCTGTTACAGAGTAACAACAGCGGCCCGAACTTCCACTTCGAGCTTGTCATCAGTAAGGAAGTTTGGTTGTTTTTTATTAGCTTTCATTGTAGGTTGTAAAATGTCATTTTTGTTGATGAAATTCATTTGTTTGTTCGTAGTTTCATTGTTTTTTAGTAAATTGTTAATACTAAATGATTAAAAGGTCCTCAGAGGTGCACTTCACAACCAAGAGACTACCGCGACCCAAGCGTCCGCGACCCAAGCGTCAGCGGCCCGAACTACGTTGCCAAAATCGGTAACAACTATTAACATTATCTGATCACTCTTATCCGTGTATAATCAATGCTTTTATGAAAGAAGGCTATACTTAAATTAATTACTTCCTGTTTCATAGCCAGTTCTAAAATAAAATGATTTATTGTCATAAAACTATGTAACAGTTCATGACAACTGTCAAAAACTAAAACAAAAAAACAAACAAGATGCCTTAGTTTTACAATCAAATTAATAGGTACCCCTGCTGCAGCAAACCTGCAGACTAGACGAATATTTAATGAGTATACCTAGGTTTGCTAATACGGGGAAGGTAAATTGTTTTTTTTTTTTACCAAAGTGAATTTTTACCAAAGTTGCCTTTAGGCTGAAATAGCATAAATAAATTTGCCAAATTTGATCAACATGAAACAAGCAAACTAACTTACAAAAGTTTTCTTTTCCTCCATAAGAATAAGGTGAAATGAAATATAAAATAATAGTGGTTTAGTTACCTTTACTTTTGTCCCAGTTCAATAAAAAGTTGTAATATCTACAACCATGGTTTCGACGCTAGTTGCGTAGTTAGCAAGTCGAGAAGTACACCACAACAATGAGTGAAATGAAATAATGAATGAATAGTGAAATAATGAAAATTTAAGTGTACAGTTTTTTTTTACATTTCTCTACCGACTTCTAATTGTAAAACAACACTTTAAGTTACCTAGCAAACAAAGTTAATTTGTTTTTTTTTTAAGCTATACACAATGACTATAATGAAAAGTGGTCATTTTATGTTTACAGGAGAAAAAGTTTGAAAAAAAAAATTTTTGAACATTTTAAAACCCTATAGCCTAACTTATATACCCTGTTCCCATTACCCGATCTTGCTGGTTCGCAAACCCATTTAAGTTTAGGCCTAACTTATCCCTACCTACACCTTCTTCAAACCAAATTTCATTCAAATCGGTGCAAAATTAGTTGAGGTTTGATGATCGACTCAAAGTGTGTTCACGGACACACAAAGGTTACCTATTATATAAATCTATTTACATAGCCTATAGGTATGGTATAACTTATAAAAAGTCCCGGGTCGGTTGGATATTTTTTTTAAATATTTAAAATAGAGCTACCTACAAAACTTCGCACAAAGTTACTGGACATAAAAATATAATTTATCACATATTCAGTGATCCACTAGGCCTACTTATTCATATACATCATAACTTATAACAATTTGAACGAATGGTGATTTTGGCCTCTGGGGGCATCAAAGTAAAAAAGTAAATCGGTCCTGGGTCTAAGGCAGGGTGCACACCGGAGAAACCCGTTTCAGGAAACTGGTTTCATCAAATTGGTTTCAAGGAAACCATTTCTTTAACAAATGCACACAGAAGAAATGGGATTTATTCAGTTTCGTGATATGAATTCAGATGACAATGTTGTGACTTTATTGGTGGTGGCTAAAGAAAATGAAAAGAAGGAAGTATTGGGTTCACCCATTGATTAGGGATGGTCAACACAGTAGCCTACTTACATTGTAGCTCGTTAATTATGCAGTTATCCTATAAAATGTTTTGATTTTTTAGAATGCCAAAGCCTCTTTTTGAACGTTTGGTGGAATTACTTAGCCCACTGATAAAAAAGAAGGACACCAACCGGAGGTTAGCTCTGAGTGCTGAGGAAAAATAACAATACATTGAGGTAATTCGATAAAACCAATAGAAACGTGAAACTGAAGCCTATACGAAATCTGTTTGTTGGATTTTATGTAAACCAGTTGCAAGAAACAAATGAAATTACAGTTTCATGCAACGCAGTGTGCACAGCCCTGTGTTAAACTAATCCATCTGTTGCAAGCAACTAAAGTTTCTCGTTTCATTAAATCGGTTTCCTGAAATGGATTTCTCCAGTGTGCACCCTGCCTAAGTCTTAACGTGCCAACTACGGTAATTTAATTGCTAAGTTACTTCCCTCGGCCTATAAGTTAGGGAAATTCGCGGCTGCACTTTACTTTAGGTCCTACACTCATTCGAATGAAAATATCGATCGATATATTGATTAATCGATTGTTTCATTCGATATATCGTTTGGTTAGTTAGGTAAGGTTAACGTAACCTAACTAACCAAACGATATATCGAATGAAACAATCGAATAATCAATATTTTCATTCGAATGAGTGTAGGACCTAAAGTAAAGTGCAGCCCAAGTTATGCTTAAATTTAACAAGTTACAACAGACAGGGGTTTTCTGTTGACCGGCAAGAAATTGTACATTTTTACCCCTTGGTAGCCTTAGCCTATTCGAACTTTGAAGCTTTTATGAGTGGCTGTACAGTTGTTTGGTTGTAAATCAAAGAATCAATTTCCATACCGTTAAAATTGCAGATTATGACAAATTTGTTGAATACAAAAATACTGTATTCATTTTGAAAAAGAAATAACTTAACTTACCAAACAAATAGTCAGTCAGACGAAGTTGTATAACCTTAACCTATACCATTAACCGCCAAATCAAAACATAAACAAGAAGAACAAAACAGATGCAGATAATGAGAGATGAACAGAAAGGAGAACATAGAATATAGAATCGAATACAGGGCAGGTACCAGAACAAGAAAAGTGGGTGGTAAAAGTAACGCAAAGGCGTTCAATATAGGGTACCTATTGACGCTGTAATCCACAAGCGTCTACAGCCTGACTGATCACTTATTGCAAACGAAAAAAACTGGCCCATGAAGAAGAAGAACCATCTTGTTGATGACTGCGGTCTGTCGTCTGTTACTTAGCAGCATAGCATAAACAAAGTCAAACAGACTCCCAGATATAAATAAAACATAACCTCAACCCTCAAAACCAACTAATATTTTGTATTATATTATTTCACCTTGAATCCTACTAAGGTATTTAAGTTATTATTATTTTAGGTATATAAGCTATTTTTAATGTTGACGTTATCATTTATCTTATTATTTTTTTAAATTATTGCTACTCCATTTGTTACTTTGATTTCCAAATTAGTAAGTTAGGTTCTAAACAAACTAGACACGTTCATGATTTCTTGGATATGAGGGTTAGAGGATTAACCTAGTTTAAACCTACCTGGATAGTATAATTTTATGTTAACCAACCAAATTTAATTCTGATTAGATGAAACCAATGGCAAATCTATAACACTAGTCCTAATGTGTTGAACCGAATTGGGGTACAGTTTCTTAACTGGGCTACGCTAATATTGATTGAAACTATCGACTCGATTAGTAAACCTTCATGCGATTTGTTCACCATCAGCAAGTTTGGTTAGTTAGGTTAGGTTATGATAGCTTAATTTTATAATAGATATATTTTAAAATATCGATTATTAATCAATATTTTCAATTCGATAGTTTCAATCAATGTTTGCGTAGCCCAGTTAAGAAACTGTACCCATGACAGGTTCGATTTCTGACACAACCACAATATTTGATGGGTTTGGACCACTTTACCTTGAATGTTTTTGTGATTAGCTCTCCTACAAAATGCCTCTGGTATACAGAGAACAGTGACAAAAAAGAAGATAAAAATTTAGAAATTCATTCCAACTGCAATTTTTGTGTATGTCGGCCACGGCCACTATTAGAGTAATTAGGTCATAACAAACAGTTTACAAGTACATCCTTCATTACATTTGAATTCAAGGATACAGGGACAACTTTTCCAAAGACAAATTTCCTTCCACCAAATACTGCTCTAACGTGGCAAAGGTCAGATTTTTAACAGGAGTGGGCAAATTGTATAACACTGGGTTTTCACTAGACCACAAAGTTTGTTTGGGTACTTCCCTGTTAAAGAGAACATTAATTATCAATGATTTCTTTTCGATTTATCGATATTTTTGTTTTACTTCACGATCCGTATTCCTTCTGTTTTAATATCTTCAAACACATTTAAATTACAAATTAAGAACCAACCTTTTTTAGGCAAAAATAATAGCCCATAGGCCTATATTAGAGTAGGAAATGAAACTATTCTAAACTAACCTAACATAACTAACCAAACTTGCTGTGTAGGCTGTTATCATTTCAAAATTCCGTTTGATAACAGAAAATGCATATAGGCTATCAAACGGGGCTAACGGAAAGTTGAAATGTTACGTTTGGTTTGTTAGGTTAGTTTAAAAGAGTTTTATTTCATTACAATATTTTTTGGCTGCACTTTACTTTAGGCCCTACAGTCATTCGAATGAAAATATCGATTATTCTATTTTTTTCATTTGATATATCGTTTGGTTAGTTAGGTTAGGTTAACCTTACCTAACTAACCAAACGATATATCGAAAAAATAAATTAATCAATATATTGATCTATATTTTCATTCAAATGAGTGTAGGACCTAAAGTTAAATGCAGCCTTCAATTTGTTATAATCAATATATCGGATAGAAAAAAAAATCGCGTATCTGTTGGCACAAAAAACCAAATGAAAATATCGATTGATACCCTATATCCATTATTCGATATATCGTTTGGTTAGTTAGGTAAGGTTAACCTAAACTGACTAAGTTAACCAAACGATATCGAATGAAACAATCGAATAATCAATATTTTCATTTGGGGGTACATTTCCATATCTGATGGCTCAAACAACTGGATGAAAATATCGATCGATAGGCTATATAGGCTAGATTATTCGATATATCGTTTGGTTAGTTAGGTAAGGTTAACCTAACCTAACTTACCAAACGATATATCGAATTAAACAATCGAATAATCAAAATTACTCATTCGGTTGTTTGTGCCAACAGATATGGAAGTGTACCCTTGTTCGGTTGTTTGTGCTAACAGATACGGAAGTCCACCCAAAAATCGTATTACAATCTCTCAACAGTTTCATCCATTGCACTTTCATTGTAACTTATGGAGCCTGCATTCATTTAAGTTAAATAGCATTGCCTATGGTGAAAGACTCAACGGCCATTTTAAATGTTTAGATCTTTGCTATTATGGAGTGTAAAAGAATGCTAAGGAGCAAGAATTCATAGGCTTGGCCGGGAGGTTAACCATGATAGACATAGGCCTAAATGTCTTATTTTTAATTATCATTAAGAATAAAATGAAAAATTGAGTAGGCATAGGCATACACTAAAAAACATTAAAAGGGGCAAAATTACAAAAGGATAAAAGTACATTTTTATAAAGTTTAGTAAACATGCTATTTATTCACAGAAATGGGTTTTAATCTATGCAGTAAAAATGTAGAACACTACCCACAAGATTAATAGTTTACAAAAGACTTCACAAGGACAACTAGGATAACAAAACGTAAATATCACAACATCTACATGTCCAGTGATCATAAATAAATATCACAAGAAAAAGAACTTCTTTTTATTTAATCATTATATGGAGATGGAAACAAAATGAATAACTTCAATGAAATAGACAATATCAAAATACTACACTTTAGATGAAAACAAACAAACAGCCGCACCAAAACACAGCCGACAGCCAAAACGATACGTCACGTCATAAAATAAAATCAAGCAGACAACAATTGTTTCTTCTTCTTCAGTCTGGCCAGGCTGACCAGTTTTTTTTTGTTTGCAATAAGTGATCAGTCAGGCTGTAGACGCTTGTCTGAAACCCACAAAAAAATGGAACAGAAATGGCCACCTTTAACTTCAGGTCAGTAAAGGCGGCCGTGGTAGTGTTGTCTAGCGCCAGACACGTCCCATAAGAAAACATGGCTGACAGGTGACACCAGCTCATTAATTCGCGTATTATTTATTTAAATTTAAATATATGAACGTAAATGTATTAAAAGATTTAAAATAAAACATATAGAATTGAAAAAAAAAACAATATTAAAATAGAAAATCTAATTTTGTATATTTAAAGTGGAGTCAGTATTTTCATTATAGTCCAGTAACCAAGCTTTCATATCTATACTTATTTAATGCGCAAGCACGATTTTTGTGACAATTACTCCTCCGAAACTACTGAACCGATTGACATGTTTTTGTTGTCATTGGAAAGAGCTAACGTGAAGTTGTGCTGGAAACTTTCTTTTTAGGTAAAATAATTAGAGAGTGAGGCCCTGTGGCCCTTTAAAGTTTCGTATTTCTCCATAAGATTAACATGGGAAACAAACATTGTTTTGAAACTCCAGCTGTTGTCAGATTTTTTTAAACTTTATTTTATTTTACAATCTGTTCAGGTTCAGTACAACTGTGAACAATTAGTAAAAGGCATAATATAAGTAAATGACTTGACCAAGAATCTCCCCAGTGAAAGATCTTGGAAAAATAAATAGTCATATATCATGTAACTAAAACTATGTAAATCGGTATGGGAGTTCAAGAACTTTCACAATTTTTAGTCTGTTGGGAAATTCACTATTGTCCAGCAAGTTAACGGCTAAATTGTTCTGGTGGGTTTCTAGTTTTTCTTGATATTTCTTGCTAATTCTTGTTATTTCTTCAATCACTGTAGGTATTTTAAAATCTTAATGGATTGTTTGATTCGAGACAAACCACGGAGCATCAACTAACTATTCTTCGCAGCGCCTTAGACTGAAATCTTTGAATAATTGCTAAGTTGGATTTGCTTGCCGTTCCCCAAAGTTTTATCCCGCACGTCCAAATAGGTTTGATCATAACTTTGTAAAGTGTGAGTTTATTGGTCAACGAAAGCTTTGATTTTTTGCCTAGAAGCCAGTTGAGTTTACGAACCTTCAAGTCCATTTGTTGTCTTTTACACCAAATATGTAAATAATCGGTCTCCATGGAAGCTTGAGAAAATTCGCAATGTTTACATTTGCTTTGACATTTTATTGTAAACAAGCAGAACTGTCAAATGCCTATTTCACAAATTCCTAAAGCTGATAAAAAAAATGTATGGAAAATTCCACTATGTAAAATAACTAGTATGTGTAACTGTGGTAGGTTTATTTAATCTTCAACTTTATGGTAGATTATTTATTATAAATCCATTTCAATGATTATGAAACAGATTTTTCCCGTTGCGAAGCAAAAATTAATAGTGAGAAGAAGAACATAATATTTAAAACAGTCAATGTGTAAATTATCGGGAACGCGCCAAGGCGCCACCACGTCAACCCGCCACCAAGTCAACCCGCCATCAAAAAGAAGAAGAAGTTTTAGGTGGTGGGTTGACGTGGTGGCTCGTTGTCGGGGTGGCACGTTGACTCTAGCGGGCACGACAACCCGCCACCTCGGAAAAATGTGTGGTGGCGGGTTGTCGAGGTGGCACGTTGTCCTGGTGGTGCTTAGACGTGTTCATACACGTCAACCAGCCACCTCTTTAGTGTGGTGGCTGGTTGACGTCTACGTGCGAGGTGGCGGGTTGACGATACCGAACATTGAGCCATAGACTAACCAACACAAGTAGACTTTTCATCCCATTGTAAATTTTGAAGCTCGTTTTTCATGTCTAGTTCATGTACGCTACACTGGGCGCGACACTAGACGAAATTTAGTTTCTATTATTTTAGGGTTAATTTCTTGATTTGTGCTTTACTGTTT